CCCTGCCGTGAAGAGGGCCCAGCGAAGCCAGGCCTACAGAGCCACGAGAGGGTAAGCACAGAGTGTCCGAGGCCACCATGCGGTAACTGGATACCCAGCATGCTCCCCTCAAGTCCACAGTCCTGGACTTTAATGACATTTTAGTTTTCTGTATATTGGCCTTGAACATCTCTTGTTCAATGTATCTTTAAGGGCCTTGAAGATTTTACTCTCATGTAAATAGTACTTTTTTTGGTATCTTTTAAAAGAAACTTATCAGACTTTGCTGCTCATGTTTAGAAAAGCGATTGATTTCAGTGTATTAATCTTATAGCAAGCCATTTTGCTGAATTCTTACTGTTTAATAATTTTAGCCTTTCTATATGGACAATCATGTTATTTGTGAATAAAGAGAAACATTTCTTCTAATGTTTACTTTTTTTAACTTATTTGGTTGTAATGAGCTAGCCAGGTTCTAATTTTGCTATTCCTAATTTTAAAGGGCTGACAGTACCATCTCTCCACCTAGAAAGCTCTTTCCTGGAGGTTTGCAGTTGGAGGGCATCCAAAGGGCACCCTTGCGGGGTGAGAAGGGCATCTCTGTGGGGAGGGGGTGGCAACGGCGATGGGAGAGGAGTATTTACAAGAAAACTAATCAAGTGAGAGCACAGATGAAGGAGAATGGGAACCATTCAGAAAAAAAGGGCTTACAACCACACAGAGAGAAAACCAGATGTGCCCTGTGGTGTTGGTTTGAAAACGGAGGTAGGACTGTGATCTCATAGTTGTCAACAGATTGGATGGGTGGATGGACAGGCCAATGGACAGATGGACAGATGGACAAACAGACTTATGAATGGATGGATGGACAGATCAATGGACAGATGAACAGCTGGATGAATGGACAGATGGATGGAAGGATGGACAGACAGACCAAAGGATAGATGAATGGATGGACAGATGGGGTGATGGATGGATGATGATGGATGGATGGGCAGACAGATGGATGAATGGACCAACAGACGGATGGACAGATGGACAGATCAAGAGACAAATGAATGGACTGATGGACAGATGGATGGACAGACAGACCAATGGATAGATGGACAGATGATGAATGGATGGACCAATGGACAGATGGATGAACAAGCCAATGGATGGATAGATGGACAGACGGTCACATGTGCATGCATATATTCCCTAGTTCTATCCACCAAGAGAACCTGGGTACACCAATACCCCAATAGCAGTAAGCACACCTCACACCTATACCTTGGTTCCTAGGTGCTATTCTTGCTTTCTTGCTTAAAGGAGCAGGGGCCCTTGGAGCAACGGCTGCTTCCAGGGCTGGGGCAGTGAAGGTGCAACATGAGCCCAGAACATCTTTGCATGCCAGAAAGCAAGGAAGCATTCAGAAGATGGCAGGTACCTACCTAGCAAATGGACACCAAAGCTAGATGAAGTGGTTCCCACTAGCCAAGGGAGAATTTGAGCATGAAATAAAATACAGCAACAGCCTACACATAACCCACCGAACAGAAGGAAGCATGGTGTGTGCAGATGAACGCAGGAGGGAGAAGAAGCTGAAGGAAGTTTGGTGAGCTGGGTGCTCACAGAGCTTCAAAGCACCGCCTTCATCGCAAAGGGAGAAGGAGCAACTTTACGCTGGGCAGCCGGGCAGCCGCCGCCAACCAAGTGACAGTGGGCACCAGTGAAATTTCACACCACCCACCAGGATGCATTTCTGGGCTATTGCTACAAAAACCGCAGAATCAAGCTCATGAGGACACCTCACAGAAACCTAACCCAGGGACCTTCCTAGTCACAGGCTGACCTTCAAGAGTGCCAAGGTCACCTGGCCCGAGGGACCAAACCGCAGGCTCAGAACGGCCGTGAACGTGGTGAGCGCCAGCCAGCAGGAACCCGTGGTGACCCCATCCTGGTGTGCTGTCTATTGCAGGCCCTCCCTAAAGCATGGAGGGCAAAGAGCCCTGGAACCACAACTTCCCCTCCACTGATTCCGGAAGAATCTTGCAACTTTTCCCGAAGTCTGCAGCTGTTTCCATGCTGTTGTTAAACATGAGCCAACTCCTGCCCTCCCCGCCCCCCCATCCCCAGAAATGGCAACTGTATCCTTCCAGGGGCTCCCCAGTGGGGGTAGGGGGCTCCACAGGGAAGCTCAATGGGAGAGGAGGTGGCCCCCACCCATTCACCTCCCCTCCTGGTCAGTGCAGGACCTGGGAGGAGCTCACCTTCAGAGGCCCGGGGCAGCTGATGGCCCTGAGCTGGGCAGGAGTCAAGTGAGACCCCCCCCAACGTGGAGGCTGCTAGTGCTAGCTGGGCAGGACTCAGGCCTCCCAGGCAGGCTGGGGCTTGGGTGCCCACCCAGGTCCCTGCCTCGCCCACACTCCAGGGCCATCGAAGACTAGGAGCCAAGGCCCTGCTATTTGGCGTGTACAGCTCAGAACCCACAGGCACCCACACCACCCTGCCCCACCCTCAGCCCCTCCCCAGTGGGCACCCCACTTCCTTCTCCCCCTGGGCCTGCCCCCCTCCACCAGACCAGCTGCCTCCATTCAGCTTCTTGCTGACACCCAGACCAGGGCTCCCCGGCCTGTGGATGCACAGGGCCCTCCTCGGAGCCTGACCCAAGTCACAGGGCTCCCCTGAGCAAAGTAGCCTCCTCCCACCTCCCCGGGGGCAGTAATACCACTCCAGGTGTCCCAGACTCCTGCACAGCCCTGGGGGGCTCCAGGGTCCCGCAGGGCTGAGCCCCCTGCACCCCATGCCCAGCCAGAGTGCAGAGGGGTGACCAGAGCCCCCACAGCCACAGAAAACATGAGCCCCACCAGAGCTGCAAGGGTTTATCTGAGAGACGTGAGCATGTGTTCTTTGTCAAATGGGTCTAACCCAGTGCAGGACCCGGCTGGGATGGGGAGGAACAGGATGCGGGGCACCGGGAGCACCCACAGACCAGAAGACCCCCAGCAGCCCTCTCCCCTTAACCAAAACCTGAGCCCCAACTCAACCGTGAATTCAGCCTGTTTCTCACAGAGCCAAAGGCTTGGAGGCCAATACCATTTGAAACTGAAAGAAGGGACAGTCCGTGCCCCCCAAGGCATCCAAGAGACATCAGCTTGTGGTTGGAAGACACCAGCTCGATGACCCCAGCTTTGGTTACCCCATTCTGAAGGCAGAACCAGCCTCTGAACAGTCTCTGAGTCCAACGTGGGTCATCCAGAACTCTGTGCCATGTGACAGTAATAATCAGAGGGGGCTTCTCTGCACACAAGCCAGGAAACGGGAAGGCAGAAGACCTTCAGGGACGTACACAAGGCAGGGCAGAGAACCTGACATCCTCCCTGGCAAGTGCCCACTGGAACGAGGCTCACTGCGGGTGGCCGAATCTGCGGCCCAGTGAGGCCAGGCTCCCCACCTCCAGCTGGCCTGGGAAAAGCAGGAGCTCCTCCTGAGGATCATGGGATCCTTTAATGCTTGCATTAAACATGAATCCGATCCTGCCATCAGATGGCGCTCAGACCTCGGAGGCAGGGGCTGAAGGGGTGGTGGCAGGACAGCAGGTGCACCCAGCAGCTGACCAGGGTGGCCTCACCCTTGTCCCCAGGGTGAGCAGGGCTCTGCCAAGGCAAGCTGGGTGCAGACTTCTAACCCACTGCTCCACGAGGTGCTCCCCACCCAAAACCAGCCTTCCAGGGAAGGCAGCCTGCAGAGGGGACAGGTCTGGGAGTCTCCTCTCTATGCCCAAAGATCCCCCAAATCTGAGGGGTAGCATGTCAAGGCCCAGGATCTCAGACGAACTCCAAGATCAGAAACTACAATGTACGTGGGTACGTTAAACATAACCTGGAGCACTGGGGTTTCCTGACATTTTAGAAGTTCCTTTTTCTAGTTACTTTCCTCTAATGCCACCTCCCAGACAAGCTGGGAAGACGGAGGCGATCACTTCCCACAGTGAAGTCCGCACCTATTCTCTCGTTGCCCCCCACCCCCTACCAGTCAGTACCCACAGCAGACATCACTAATCAATCCCAGCATTACTGTCCATGAGGATTCCAGTCCTCAACAGAGACCTCCAGGAGCTCCCACCCACCACTTGCGTTGGCCCTTGAAATGAGAAAACCATGTTAATCTGGACCCATGGTGGCTCAAGCGGCAATGTGGCCGGCACACATTATTCACGTTCCCTCCTCCCCGACCTACTAGACTCCTCTGCCACACATCCCGTGAACACATAAAGGAGAGCCACCACCGGCTCATATGGGCCTTTATGCAAATTAGAAAAAGATAGCCCTCACCTTGGGGACACATCCCAGTGGCTGGACACACCCATGCAGCCAGGTTTGTAGTGCACAACCTGAACAACCTTACCTGGTCACCCTATTCCAGAGAAGCAGGAATTGTGTCTCAGTAAGAATGACGACCTCATTCTTTGCAAGACTTCAGGATAAAAATCATTGGCATTCTGACCCATAAAGAAATACACACAATCACACGCACACAAGCCATAAAATAAAAAAACAGTTAAGATTCTCCTCATGTAAAACCACCAGGATCCCAAACTTAGTGCCCTGGAAAGCTGCCGCTTGGCCTGTGCAAGCCCCGGGTGGGCCTCTGGTCCCTGAAGGCCACCAGCAGTGAAGGCACCACGGAAATCACAGGGCCTGAAAGGCAGGCCGCAGCTTCCTGCTTCTCCGACGGTCTTGCAGGTCCCTTTGGAGTCGCGCTCTTCCAGTATTCAGAGAGGCCTCCCCAAAGCAGCTTAGAGACTGGTGTGGCGCAGATGCCACGCGGAGCACAGGAGGCCGCCCGCCGCAAAGAAAAGCTGGTGGTAGTTAGTGGTTCGGCTCGGCGGCGAGCCAGGGCCTCCGCTCTCTGCCCCAGCCTCAGGCGGGTGGAGTAGGTCCATCCGTCCAAGGGAAAGTCACTCCTTCCGGGCTGCAGCCGCCTCCTCCCACAGCGGGCGTGGGTCCTGAGGCCACACGGGACGGTGCACCTGGGTGTCACCTGCACAGCTGCAGGTGCGGGTGATGGCTCAGCTTCTCCATCAGCTCCTCCTCCGCCGGCTCCTCCAGGACATCCCTGTGGAATCAGGGAGAAGATGTGCAGGGAGCTCGAGAGAGAGAGGGACTTGGACACCTCCGGGAGCGCGTGCAGCCTTGCTCCCCATTTAGGAATCATCAGACACATGCACAAGTGAGCACGGGGACTCAGGTCCATCTCTGGGATGTGTGCACGGCGTTTTTAAAAACCCGGGGCGGGGGCGCCCCTCCACGCTGGCCAGTGGGGCGGGGACAACACGGCGCATGGAGGGAAGGGGCAGCTGCTGCTCCCTGGGCGACCACCACCGTCCTGCGCCAGCAGAGCAAGGACTTGCAAAGTCACCGCGGCGAAGCGGGGGCCGCTGCCTCCCTCCACCAACAGAATCCCCTGGAGACCAACGGGACCTGAGAACAGGGTCTTAAACATGCCCATCGGGAGGCAGGACAGCGCTCACAGCCCCAGGAGCAGGAAGCCCAGACCCTGATCCCGGCTCAGAGCTGGTGGGAGGGAGTGTCGCTGGACGCCCACCCACCCCTCCCCACCTCGCCTGCCCTTCCTCCTCCCCCCAAAGCAGAAGCCCCTTCCTCGTCCACGTACCTAAACAAGAGCTCCACGCTCCTCTGACAGGTGGTGTCCGGGTCCCCAGCAAGGGACTGCAGGTGACTGCGGCGGTCCCACTTGTGAAGAAAATTCTGGCAAGCAGGAGGAGAAAGCATGGCCAGCAGGTGTGAGCCCCACATGAACCAGCCTTTTTCCCTCCGGTGTCAGCAAGGCAACCCACTGCAGGGAGCCGAGCCCCTCCCAGACGCTGGGATCCAGGGCCCTGCAAGGCCGCCAACTCCTGCAGGAGCCAGATGCCTGATGGGCCTCCCCCAGCCCCGCCCAGGGGCTGAGAACCCCCACAGGTCAAATGTCAAGGGCATTCTAAGAGGCTCCCAGCAGCCAGGGCAAGCAGCGCTAAGCAGGAACCCAGCACGGCCGGTCCAGGTCCTCCGCAAGTTAGAAACCACCCCTGAGGCAGCCCAGGCAGGGGTCTCGGATACCTCCAGAATCAGAGCCAGAAACAGGTTGACCGAGATGACAGACGACACCAGCCACCACAACACGAAGTAGATCTTCGACCACCTGTGGAGGCAGGAAAGCCAGCCGTGGCCCGCCGTAAGCGGTGCGAGACGGGACACCACAATGACGCATGCAGCAGGAGCGTTCCGCGAGTCCGCCCGGCAACTCTGTGACGCCCCCACTCCCGTTTTCGAGGCGACCCGACCAAGGCTTTCAGAAGCGATCAATGAGTGGCCAAGGTAGCACGGCCAGTGAGAGGTGCAGCTGGGATTCGAACCCAGGACCATCCGCTCTCCAAGCTCTAGGCTCTCCTTCCCTCAGCCCGCCTCCAGGGCTCCCAGCACCAGGGAATCCTCCAGAAGCCACACCCCCAGCAATCCCCAGAAGGGGTAAACCCAGAGTCAGCGGCAAGGGCGTAGTACATGCACCCGCACGGCCGTCTGGGCTCACACTGCACCGTGATGGGGGCGGGGGGGACCGGCCGGCCGGGGTCACTCACGGGCCCGAGTAGCGCCGATAGGCATCCAGGAACACCTGCCAGTTGTTCACCACCATCACGTTCCACAGAGTGATGAGGGCGGCCTGCAGGGCAGCAGACACAGGGTCCAGCAGGGCCGGGGGAGTGCGACGGGAGGGCGGGAGTCCCGAGGAGCAGGGAGTGCAGGGCTCACCGCAAAGTCATCGAAGTTGTTGGCCCAGTATTCCAACTGCTCGAAGCTTCCGCAGGGTGCAGAGCTGTTGTCAGGGGCCAGGCTGCGGGGACATGGCGAGCTGGGTCAGGGGTGGGGACCAGGATGCAGACACCAGGACACCCCAGCACTGCCTCAGGCCCCTGCACAGCTGGACCCCTCTGGGCCCCGGGAAGTCAGGGGAAGGAAGAAGGGCCCCCGATCTCCGGAGGTGCTGTGAGAGCAGCCAGGAGCCAAGAGCTCCAGACACACACGGGAAACGGAGCTTCCAGACCGCGGGACCCAGGTCTGGCTCTGGGCACCCGCCACCAGTGCTGTGGCCAGGCCTGAAGATCCCAAACAGGGTGTGGGGGTGGGGGCTGCGGCGCTGAGGAGGCTTCCGAAACACTCTCGGTACAGACTCTAGGTGAGGGCATCTGGCAGGGCGGGGAGGGAGGGGAGACAAAGGAGAGCCCCCACCCCGAGGAGCCCGCCCCCCCCCCCCACCCAGCCTCACACTCCTCCGCACCTCCAGAGGCACTCCCTTTGGCACGTTCAGGCCCCACCTCACCTGCCGTTTCCAGGAGCCATGACGACACCACGGAACAGGTTGATGCCCATGATGGCAAAGACATAGTAGACCACCTAGGGAGGCGGGGCCAGGCCTGCTCAGCGCCACCGGCAGACAGACCCACAGAGCGGCACATTCCCAGCCCTCGACGCTGCCCCCAGCCACGGGCACCGCTGGCCTCCCCCAGGGAACGCTGGGGCTTCTCCTCCCGAGTACCGTGTCCTGGCGGCCAACCTGCCCCAGACGGAAGGAGGGAGCCACCACCACCACCAGGGGAGCCAGAGAGAAGCTGGGAGCCAAGGAGAAAGACCCAGGGGCCAAGGAAGTGAGGCTATTGGCCCCTTCTCCAGGACAGGGGTGGCATGAAGAGAGGTGAGAAGGATCCCTACTTTGGGCGGTCTAAGGTGAAGAGGGTCCCAGGGGAAGGGGGTCCCAGCCCAGGGGAGGGGCAGGTAGGAACGGGCCAGGCTTCTCCAGGAGGTGACGTGCAAGGAGCACCACCCAGCGGTCTCATGCCACAGACAGAAGAGGCTACGTGGCCCTCCACCTGTCCCCACCTCTCCCCAACATGCCAGGGGGAAAAGGAAGGGGCACAGGCCCCGGGCTAACCCAGTCCCTTCTGGGCCTCCATTTCCTCTGCAGGGCTTCACGCCTAGAGCAGCACCAGGGGTCCCCCTGGGCTGGGCGACAGGGCAGAGCCAACAGCACCTCAGTGGCAAGGCTGGGTCTGGAGCTGGGGGATGCCATGATTCTCTCTCGGCCAACACGGCTGGGAGTTCCTGAGGATCCCTCTGCACAAGGAGGGCTGACCAAAACTCCATCTGGGGTCTACATGGGTTTCCGGGATCCCTTTTTAAAATCAGTGTCTCAGGACGCCTGGGTGGCTCAGTTGTTGAGCGTCTGCCTTCGGCTCAGGTCATGATCCCAGGTCCTGGGATTGAGCCCCGCGTCGGGCTCCCTGCTCGGGGGGAAGTCTGCTCCTCCCTCTCCCTCTGTCTCCCAGCTCGTGCTCTCGCTCTCACTCTCTATCTCAAATAAAGAAATAAATAAATAATCTTTAAAAAATAAACAAATAAATAAAATAAGATCAGTGCATCGGTATGGCCCACGATCCAAAATGTGTGAAGGAATAAAAAGTGACCGACGGACCTCTGGCACGGAACGGGAGCATGGTCGGGCAGCGCTGCCCGCAGACCAGCCCTGGGGTCCGCGCCCGGGAACGGCAAGGGGCACACTGGCCTCCGGGGCCTACACAGCCCGAGAGTCACCCTAACACAGGACCCTCCTTCCTCCAGAGCAGCCAGCCAGCCAGCCTCGGGCTCAGACTCACCGGAACCCACAGCGAGCTCCACTCGCGTGCCCGCCCCCCCGACGGCCAGAGCCCACCGGCCAGACTCACCACCAGGATCCCACCAAAAGCCCGCATGTTTCTGATCAGGTCCAGGACAGTACTAGCCACCACAGCCATTAGCTGAGGACAGAAAGAAAGCAGGGCCCTATTCTTCCTGGTCCCACTGAGGTCACACCAACCCTGCCCACTGCCCTGACCCTGACCTGGAAAGGCTCGACAGGACCGGTGAACTACCAACCCACACACCCGTACACACACCCCATGGCCACCTGCCCATAGGCGCCCGAACGCGCACCGCACAGGCACTCGTAGACACACGCAGACACACACCATATACACTCACATATACCCCACACACAGACGCCGCCATCCACCCAGACGCAGACGTGGCTCGATTTCAAGTCCCTTCAGTGAAGCCACCGCAGGCAAGAGCTCCAGTCACACTGCCCAATGCCCAGTAGGGCTGGGTTAGCTCCCCTCGGGTCTGGAGGCTCCGGAGAAGCGCAGACCTAAAGTATCCAGCTCAGCCCTAGGGATCAGGTCTGAGAAAGGGGCTCAGACACCCACCCAGGCACCCCAGCTACAGAGGGCTGCCCCCCTGACATGCAAACGTGAGCCCCAGAGAAAAGCTCTCCAATTAGCTCGTTTACCCCACCTGAGACGTTAGATCGGAGCCCTAGATGCTAACAGGTAGAAACCACCGTGCACACGTGTGCACCATTATGTGCAAGTGTACAGCATGCTCGTGTACGTACGCGTCACTGCATGGGGGCAGTTACGTGCATGCGTGTGCATACAGCACGTGTGTGTGCAGGGTAGTGCACGTGTACAGTTACGTGTCGTGTGCACACGTGTGAGACTGTGCATGTGGTTCACGCATATGTGTTCGGTGTATGCGTGTGACTTGAGTCTATGTGACTGTGTGCCCCCGGTGTGTGATCACGTATGTGTGGTTACACGTGCACATGATTGCGTGAATGTGATTGGGCGTGCATGTTTATGTGTGGTTACGTGTGATCGCGTGCCTGCCCCCAGGGCCCTCAGGCCACCTCCCGATGGGCAAGTCCGCTAGCTAACAGGGACACCCAGACGGCACAGGGGCATGGCTAGCTAACGGACTCCCCGGACGGCGCAGGGGCACGGCTTCGTAGACAGGACAGACAAGCACAGGGGAAGGACTTGGCCACGCAGAGAGGGGGCTCTGATGTCCTTGGTTTCTTCCCTCCTGAAGAGTTCTTAGGAAAATGGACAGGAGAAGCGAACTCTACCTCTGTGCCGGGTGAGCGCTGGGCCTAAATGCCCTGCTGCCCCGGCTCCCCTCCCCTAAGGCTGGTGTCACTCCCTGTGGGTACCTGAAGAGAAAATGAGGCCTGTGGATGGTCACAAGCCACCAGGACTGGGAGTCCTGCGGACTGGCACCCCAGCCAACCATATGCCCCACTCCTGTACTGGGGGGGCCTGAGGTGAGTGCCTTGGCCAATCGTGCTTTTGCCCCTCATTACTACTAGAAGCCACCAAGGAAGGGCCTACACCAATGGCCTTTTGGAAACCTCCGGACGCCTGGGAACACGCTGGTTCCAAGGGCTCCGGCCCCTGCCCCTCACAAACACCAAGGGCCCCAAAGAGCACAAAGCAACCCCTGCGGCTGGCCAAGGTGGCTCACCACTGTCCACCTGCACTGGCCCTCCCTCTCCTCATCCGTAAAAGCTGGGCTGGGCTGCTCTCAAGCTCCCAACTGCCCTCCAGCATCACCCAGCTGCGGTGGAGGGCTGGGGACACAGCCCAAGGGGGCCAGGGTGGCCAGGGGGACAGTCCTGGTCTCAGTTCCTCCCTGCCCAGGCTCGGCCACTGTCTAGAGCAATGAGGCAGTGGGAGTGGGACGGAGGGGGGCAGCCGGGGGTCAGACGCCCACGCACCTTCATGCTGGGGATGATGCGCAGGAACCGGAACACGATGAGCGTGTTCACCAGCCGGGCCGTGTCCCACAGCGACAGCAGGCCCAACATCTCTGGCTTCCTGGAGAGACACACAGGAGACGGGTTGGCAGAGCCTCGAGATGCTGGCAGCAAGAAGACAAGGAGACGGCGTGTTCAGACGAGACGCAGAGAGCAAGTGGGGGGGCGGGGAGGGGGCTCTGTCACGGGTACAGGACAGAGCGCGGACGGCCACACTTGCCAGCCCAGGACAGCACTGGCTATCATAACCCGCATCCTACACGGAAGACCACTCAGGTTCCAGCCGCTGCAACACCCAGCTCAGGTCCCAGCAGAAGTAGAAGAGACCTGGTCCCCGAGCCAGTCCCCCGTCCCCTAAGCACGACCCTATTTCACCCGCCTCTGGTCTCATCCCCTGTGCCTATCACCCGACCCTGGCTCCTGACCCCACCCCCTGCCCTGTGATCCCATCCTGTATCCCGGCCTCTTGGTGTCCCTCGGGGGCTTACTCTGCTCTCCTTTCTACTTAAGTAGAAACTCACTCTCACGCACGATGCTCGTCTGTGAGTCTCAGACAGAAGTGCACGCTGGGTCTTCAGTGCACTTTAGAAACAAGGGAAGCTGGGCCTGCAGCCGCCAGGCCCCGACACACCATCAAGGACAGCACCAGCCCAACCCGTCTGCCCCACACAAACCCTTCCTGGCTGGCTCCGGGGTAGCTGACCCCAAAGCAAGTCTTTCAGCCCCACTCCCCGCCTCCAGCACCTTCCAGCTGCACCACTAGGACAGAAGCAGTGCACAGAGACACCCAGACACCAGGGCGGCCAAGATGCCCAAGGCCAGCACGCGCACTGGCTGGGCCGCTGTGTTCTGGGCAACGCGACCTGACAGCCACCACAAGCCACACTTTGAGGCGCTCTGGGACCCCCTGCCCAGACATCAATACTGCTCTACAGCCAGAAGTGAGGGTGGGGGAGGTCCAACAGCAGCCCCGGCCCCTGCCATCTTACGGGGTGGTAAAACGACGCCCGGAGTGGGAGGTGACAAGCCAACGTCACGCGGCTTCCAGCCCCATTCCAGTGCTCAGGGGGCACCCCAGCCCTAAGCTGGGCACCTCCACTCCCCAGGACACCGGGGGCCGCATGCCCCATCCTGGTACCAGTGCTGAGCCCCCTGCCCTCTAGAGGCTTGTCGCAACTCTGGAACACTATGGTTCCGACGGCAAGTTGGGACATGTTGCCCAAGAGCGAGGAGAGGGGTCTGCTCCCACGCCCTCAGCCGGCCGCGCTCCGAGCCGCCTGTTCTCCTAACCCTCGGGCGCTTCGCCCTGGAGCCGAGCAGCCCGAGCAGGCGGGCCACCCAGCCCTGGGGCCTAGTGGGGCGCTGGTTGCTGTAGCCTCCCTCGGCTCTCTGCAGTCACATACCAGCCCGGGTGTGGGAATCGGTACACAGCCAGAGTTGAGATCTCCAAAACCTTTAATTACAAAAGAAAAGAAGGCATCGCTACAGCAACGCCAATCTAGGCGGCTTTCGAACGAGTTCTAAAGCTCGTGTGTGACACACTCCCCCCGAGGGGGCTTGCGGGAGAAGTCAGAGCTCCGTCCTTGTCCCTAGGGGTTGGTTCCAAACTTGGGGCTTCCTGCGGCTGAGAAAGACGCTGAGGTCTCGGGAGCCAGCGGCCCGCACGTATGGGGGGCAGGGACGCCTGCAAGGCTGGCGGGGGCCCGGGGCAAGGACAGACCGAAGGCCCTTCTCTCAGACTGTCTTTGCTCCTGTCCCAAGGGGCCCACAGCTCCCAGCAAACACGAATACACGGGGCACCAGCGTGGCTGCCGTGACCCACACCTCGGGTGACCCTCCACTCCCACGGGTTCTGGGGAAAGGGTGCCCGAGACCCCCTGCCCTCCCCCCACCCGCAGCAAGGTCCCACTGTCCTGAAGTCTGTGGCCAGTGCTGGTTAGCCGGCGAGGACTGTGGCCTCCTTCCGGGCCCCCCTCAGGGGCGGGAGGGGCAGCCTGCCCTGCGACGCTCCGATGCAGTGGAAACCCAGCCTCCTATCGGCCCCCACTGGCCGCCCACCAAGCAGCTCATGCGGGGGAAAGCCAGCCCTCTGTCACTGGAGGCAGGAGCCCAAGTTCCTGGGCCCTCCGCTGCCGAGGGACAGCCTGAGACGGAACAGAGCGCGGAGCCGGACGCAGGGAGCACACCACCCACCCGGAGAGACCAGCGGCCCGGGCGCCTCGGACTTTACCAGCAGAACGACGGTGAGGAGCCCATCAAACACGTTGCTGGAGTGGGCCAGGTACCCCGGCAGCCCCAGAGCGAACACCTTCAGCAGCAGCTCCAGCAGGTAGTACAGGATGAAGACACAGTTGAGAATCTGAGAGAGGAAAACAGGTACCAGCGTTCAGCCCCACGTCACCCGCCCTCCCCTCACCTGCTCCTCAGGGCTCTCGGGGCTGCTCTTCCCGTGCCCCCTCCCCTCACACATGGGGCGTCTCCAGCACCCCACCTTCCTGCTCCATACCCTCCCCTCAGGTGACCGGGTACCCCACGCTTGGGGAATAACCGGCACGGCGGCACCCCAGCCCCCACTCACCTGGCCCTCCATCTCCCGACCCCACAGCCCTTCTAGGCCTGCAGGACCCTGTTCTGCCACATCTCTCCCTCCCATGGCTGCCGCCCGAGCCCACGCCCCCAGTTCTCTGCCCCGACCCCTCCAGTCCACTCTCCATGGGGACATCGGGCCGACCTCTAACGACGCACGTGGGCAGTGGCCTCCCCAGTGGGCACGCCTGGCTCTCAGCAGCATCCCCCCAGCCCCTGGGGCGTGTCGGGGGAGGTCTTAGCATGAAGGTCACCACAGACTACTGGGCCACTGTCTTTTTTGAAGCCAGTCAGTAAAACACAGAGGGGCTCTCCCCTTAATGGGGGCCTCACGGCACCCTCCCCCAGCGTGCACAGGGCCACGGGAGGGGCACGTGGGGTCAGATGACCACTGCGGTCACCCCACCTCAGTGTCCAGTCTAAATTCCACATTCTTAGTCAGCGCTGCCTCATTCACACACGTGAAGAGGTCGCCGTTGAGGCAGGAAGAACATTTCAGACCCTGCATCATGAGCAATTACCAAGGGGCAGAAAAGGACAGGACTCTGCAAGAGCCCCAAAACCCCCATGCAGCTTCATGTGACCAGAAGTCTCTCAGAGACCGTCACGCCGAGCCTCATGCTTAACAACTACTGTTAAAAAAGATAAAATATAGCTCAACTGTATCCAACTTGACTTCATCGGGAATAAAAACCAGCCGCCTCTACAGTGCGTTACTCACGAGGACGAGACTGAAGCTTTCTGGTGTCATCCGGGGAAAAAAGTACAATGGAAATAAGAAATCTGAGAATGGGACTTTTCTTGAAGGATAATACAAAGGAATCTCAAGCATCAGGTCAGGAAAACCATTTTTTCCATTTTGATGCTACAATAAATCTACTCTATGTTTAATATGTACGACATACTGTGTCAGTTTCAAATCAGACGAGTCAAGCTTCTCCTATGTAGTGAAAGAATATTTATTCACTTTCATCCATTTTAATATTGTTCACAAAATCTTTCATTAAAATAAACTTTAAAATACCTGCTTTGTTAGAGTTCCAGCATTGAGTAATGTGGAGGTATTGATGCTATTTGCTTAAAATCCAAGATGAAAAAATCGTTTTTAAATTCCTAAGGAGTTTAACAAGACCTTGTAATGTTAAGAAGGGAGTTCACAGTTCCAGAAAGGGCTGAGAACCGGCGGAGAAGCAGCCAGGAAGGGAAAGCTCCAATCCCAGGGCCACATAAGCCCGGAAGACGCCGACAGCCCCACCTGCACCGCACCAGCCTCCCCGGGGCCGGCACCCTGTCCTCTGGGGGCACCCCACGATGCGAGGAGCGGCTCTGCACCAGAAGGGCCCCAGGGAGGGGAGGCTGTGCCGTCTCACTCCCGCTGCCTCCCGGGTCACCCGCGCGGCCCCAGAGCTCACCCCTAGGACGAAGTCGTCACGGTCCTCGGGCAGCACGTCTGCATCTACCACCAGGAACACCTGCAGAGCCAGAGCGGAAGGCAGCTCGCCAGCCCAGCCCAGCGCCCGGGTGCCAAGGCCATGGTCGGGGAGCTGGGAGGAGGGGAGGGGGCCAGGCGGCGGGCAATGAGGCACCTCCCGTGTCCACATGAGGGCGAGCCCGCACTCACAGAAATGGACAGGAGGTTCCCAAGGGCGATGAGGTTCCCCAGGTAGTCAAAGTAACGGTGGCTGAAAAGGAACTGGGCACTCTTCAGGAAGGGAGACAGGTACTCGGGCCGTGGTGGGGGCTGGGAAGGGAACGCACGCGGGCTCAAAAACCTGAGCCTGCAGGAGGCCGTGGCTGTTGGGAGCCCACCAGTGCCCGGACCCCCTTATTCTGGGATTCAACTTTTTCCTACCTCTTCTCTTATCCCAGTCTGTCCAGCCTAACAAAATAATCCCAAATATGGAAATAGTCGCACACACTAAGATGTTCATCACGGTCATCTTTTAACACCAAAGAGAGCTAGAGAGAACATAAATGGCCACGGACAGTTCAGGTAAACCGCGATGGAATACGAGGCGGCCATCTGAATATACGCAAAGTGTTTACCACGAGACAAAGAGTGTTCTGTGAAAAAATACGTGAGAGTTACACACTAATAACTGAAAGCTTAACACAGAACAGGGCTCTTTGTGGACACAGTGCTGAGCTAGATGCCAAGGCTCATCTGGTGACTTTACAAATCGGTGTCAAGGACAAAAAACAAAGGCTTTGGACAAACTCAGGGCCCTCCTGGGGAAGGACACACGGAGGCAGATAAGAGTTTGTCGGAAATAGATAAGAGTCTGTTGTGGAGACAGGGAAAACCCTTTGGAAAGTTCCTCTGGGTCAGACTTGGCCCAGGCCAGTCCCTGTGGTCTGTGAATTTCACAAGGTTGACAAAACCACCCCAGCTTCCAAGAGCCAAGCCATCTCTTTTCCCATTTACCAGCCTAGGGGCCGGAATCCCTGAGAAGGCGAGTCCTGGCACTGATCATTAAGTCACGATCAACGCCGACAGGTACCGTAACGTTCCCAGCTCACCCCAGGTGTCCTGGCGCCAGTTACCTCTTTAATCACCCTTTTGTCAAACTCATTGAAGAGTTTCTGAAACTCATCAGCTGGTAACAGGTCGCCACCGTAGGAATGCACCTTCTGCAAAGGAGGGAAACACAGGTCAGCCGGGGTCAGCTGGGCCGAGAGGAGGAAGGGTCCAGGACAGGAGGGTGCACCGTCCCCAGCCCCACCCGGCCTGGGCCAGCCCTGGCTGATCTGAAATGACACCCCTGCTGGAAAGGGGCTGGTGCCGAGGTGACTTTCAGGCAGAGCCCAGAAGCATAGGCTGGGGAGGGCAAGGGGAGAGGGGACCCCAATACCTCCACAATGGCCTGTTTGTGGGAGCTGTCCAGCTGGACTTTCTGAAGCGCCTGCAGGAAGTCCTGGGGCTTCACCCCGACTCTGGGGAAAAGACACCCACACCCCAGTGAGCCCAGCTAGCTCAGCGCACCGGGGCGCCCGCACCTCCGGCCGGAGCTGTGCCGCGGCTGAGTGGCTCTGGGCAATGACGAGGGCCTCCGTGAAGGAGCCAGCCGTGGGCACTTCAGTCATCCCGTCACCTAAAATCCCCAGAGACACTGCTGTCCCGCCTTCAGGAGGAGCATGCGGGCACTCAGAGGTGGCGCACAGTACGACAGAGACACAACAGGGTGGCTCACGAGCCACCACGTGGGCACCTTCCACAGACACCATCTCCAGACCAGGTCCCCCTGGTTCCCGCACCCAAGCCCAGTGGCGCGGGAAGGGCGCAGGCCGAGGGAGAGGGCCAACGCCACTTGGCCCTCACCAGCCCACGGCCTGCAGGGGTCATGAGGACAAATGAGTCAACTCAGAGCACGACGGAACCCTGCAGCACCAGGGATGTGGAGTCCTCGTGATTCCGAGGCAGCACTAAAATCAGGCGCCAGCCCACAGGGAGCTCAGCGGAGCGCAGAGTCGCTGCTCAGGAAACACTCTATGGAGCATCTGAGGGGTTCCCTCCCCGCTCAGGGAGAACGGGGTCCCGGGAGCCCTGGCACTCACTCTTGACGGTGGGCTTCTCCCTCTGCTGTCATGGAGGAGAGGACCTCATAGGCGGCCCGGGCTCCCAGCCGCCTCCGGAACAGGGAGGTCTGGAAAGACTTCTGCAAGGAAAATGGCTCTGAGCACTGGGGTTGGGGCTCTCCGGGCCGCACATCCCCCCACCTCGTGCCCAGTGCCTCTGGGGGGCGGCCTGCCCACCCACAGCTGGGGAGCGGGCCTCACTCTTCATGGCCCATGGCATTCGCTAAGATGGGTGTGTCTGCTCCGCACATCTGGGGTCCCCGTTCTCCCACACGGTGGGGTGGGCTCGGGGCCACCTGCCCTGGAGCTGCGACCTCATGGCCTCCCTCTAGAGGACATGAACCCAGGGGGCTGCGGCGCCAGCGCCGCCTGGGGAGGGAGGATGTGGCGCAGGAGGGAGCCAGAGGGCAGTGCCGAGACCATGGGAGACCACCACCCACCCCCACCCCGGCCACCCCCCACTGCTGCGGCCACCCGGCCGGTCGTGCCCCGCTCGGCCTCCCAGGGCAGCTCCTCACAGACGGGCAGAAACAGCAGCCTGGCTCACCATCAGGTAGCCCCGGAACTGATTGTAGATGATGGCCGTCAGCAGGTTCATCAGGAACAAGCTTCCTTCAAGTGGAGAAAGCCAGAGTCAGTGGGGACAACCACAGACAGGGGGCAGTCTGGAAGGAGAAAGCAGCATCGGGGGCCCAGGGCAGGGAGTGGCACCCAGGGGCCCAGAGGGCCCACGTGGGCACAGCAAACCCACAGGTGCTGGTGAGAAGGGCCTGGACAATCTCAGAGCAGGGAGAGCCCATCGTTCCTGCCGCGTGCCTGGGGCACGCCAGTCAACACGCAGGCCCCCCGTCCTCATCTAATGAATATGCTGCCACCGGGCCTGCCCAGCCACGGACACTGAGCACGGGGGCCATCGGCGGTCAGAGACTGAAAACCACGAGGTGGGGCCACACTGAGGAGAAGTCACAAGACCAGAGAGTACATGAGGTCATGGGGTCGGAAGGGCACACTGAGGCGAAGCCAGGAGGGAGGACAGGCTGAGGTGAAGTCACGGGGCCGGGGAGGACACGCTGAGGTGAAGTCACACAGTCAGGAAGGCACACTAAAGCAAAGTCAGCAAGGAGGGCATGCTGAAGTGAAGTCACAGAGAAAAGTCACAGGAAGACACATTCAGGTGAAGTCACGGGGTTGGGAGGACACATGGAAGTGAAGACACGGGGTTGGGAGGACGCACGGAGGTGAAGACACGGGGTCGGGGAGGACACACAGACGTGTAGACATGGGGTCGGGGAGGACACACTGAGGTGAAGTCACGGGGTCGGGGAGGACACGCTGAGGTGAAGTCACGGGGTCGGGGAGGACACGCTGAGGTGAAGTAATGGGGTCGCGAGGATGCACAGAGGTTGGGAGGGCACACTCATATCTGAGCATTTGTGATCTTGCCACTGGGGGCATGATCTTGTCCCAAGGGAGCCCTACAGATCTGCTGGAACTCACCTATCAGGGTGAAGACTATGAAAAAGATGGCATAGGCCCGGTTCTTGGAATACGCAGGAGTCATAACTGAGAGAAAGAAATTGGAGAAAGTGAAACACACTCACAACCTCAGGCTCTGATCTAATTCCCGTCACGGCCCCACCCCGTTTGCCATCTCAACAGAAAGAAGGGCTCTGGTCGGCAGACCTGGGAGGCCTTCCTGTCCAAACGCCAATCCTCACACCTCTGCTTCCACACCTTGCAGTGGGGGACTCCTCCCTTACACTGACCTGAACCTGCTTCCCTGTGAACTCTCCACACACTGAAAGCTCAGCTCTCCCTCAGGACAGAGATGCAGGAGTCCCTACGACCCACAGGACATGTGGGGACAATGCTCAGGGTCCCACTGCACAGCTCTCCCTGGGTGTGGAAGCTGGGGGCTGCCCTCCCGGGAAGGTCTCTATCACGCGGGGGCCGGCCCTGAGCCCAAGATGAAAGTCACGAGCCAGGGTGGCCAGGCCACAGCCAGGCCCTAGAGGCCCGCAGCACCCCATCCTGGCCACCACCCTGGCCCACGCAGAGAGGCCCCAGCAGCAACCCCAAACGTGAGCACCACGGCCACCTAAGACCCAGAGCCTGTCACCTCAGGGCTGAGCCACACCCCGCAGCCGGGCCTAGGTGGTGACCGGGAAAGTGGCTGGGCCTCAAAGAGGAGGCCACCAGGGAACCCGCCAACCACGCCACCACTGGTCACCCTGCTCATTCCCAGCTTCTCGGAGTCAGGAGACGGGAAAAGACCAGGCGAGGGGAACAGAGGAAAAAGGGAGTGAGCATAGGAGTGAGACGGAGGAAAACGGAGGAAAGAGGAAAGAGAAGGGAGAGAAAAACAAGGAAGGAGCGAGGGAGAGAATCCAGCGTCCTCCTTTTCATGCTCCACCCAGAGATAAAAAAGCCTCCCACAGCCTCCTGCCTCCCGCAGCCTCCTGCCCTCCTGCCTCCCGCAGCCTCCGCCTCCCGCAGCCTCCTGCCTCCCGCAGCCTCCGCCTCCCGCAGCCTCCTGCCTCCCACACACTCCTGCCTCCCGCAGCCTCCTGCCTCCCGCAGCCTCCTGCCTCCCGCAGCCTCCTGCCTCCCGCAGCCTCCGCCTCCCACAGCCTCCTGCCTCCCGCAGCCTCCTGCCTCCCGCAGCCTCCCGCAGCCTCCACCTCCCACAGCCTCCTGCCTCCCGCAGCCTCCTGCCTCCCGCAGCCTCCTGCCTCCCGGAGCCAGGTGCTGAGGCTCCGCGTTAACCACACCCGTGCCCAGGCCCTGTGCCCGCTCCTCACACACCGTCGGGGTTGTTGGCTGTGGTCAGCAGCACCAGCAGGGAGGTCAGAGCCTCCGGCAGGTTGCGAAAGTACATCAGCCTCTCCCGGTCCTGCCCATCGCCCTGCTGAGAGTAAACGTGGCAGCTATGAGGGGCCGTCGGGCCGCTGCCACCCCCCACCCAGCTAAGGCCTGAAGCTGGCAGAGCTCCATCCGCTGTGGGGTCAGCATCCCCTAACCTGCACCTGCCCATCATTTCCCAGCAGACTCTGCACTCATGGCCAGACGGGACCTAACTCAGGGCCTCTGTGCCCAAGAGCCAGCGTCCGGGGAGGCTGCACACGCACAGGGACGCTGGCCTCTGAAGCGGGTCTGCTCAGAACCACGGGGGAAAGCCTTCAGCCGCCCTGGCTGAGGAACACAGAAAGAGACACAGCACATGCAATTAATTACACAACCACATAGACAAATACACACGGACATACACAGACACACAAAGACAACGCACACCCAGGTACAGACACACACCCAGTGCACACAATTACACAAACATAGACACCCACTCCAAAGAGAATGACAGACACAGGGGAGCTCTGGCTCTCCCGGAATCAGAAGGGACAGTCTCCAGTTCTCCCTCATGGACAGGACAGCCCGAACCCCCCAGTACTGCCGCAAACTCAATGGAAATCGGCCTTGGCTGACGCCCCGGCCACATTTCCAAGACAGAGATGCAGGACAGCTCCAACCCTGAGGACGACAGTGACCCCGGCCAGGACATGACGAAAGACACACTGGACCACAGAGGCTTGGCGGGGGGGGGGGAAGGACGGGGACCGGGGTGAGAGGTGGCCGACACCTCCACACAGCAACAAGCCGCTAGGGGCCAAGAAGCAGGGAGGTGCGGGAAGGGGACCCAGGGGGAGGCCAAAAGCCCCCAAATGGAGAAGACGTGGGGGCAGGCACTGTGGGGCGGACGGTGGGGCGGTTTACCCGATGGCCCCATATGCCAGTCTGAGGGCGCCTCCATCTAACAGGGCGGTAGAGAAAGCTGGGTTAGTGACAGGGCAGGAAGGGGAGAAGAAAGGAGGGAGGGAAGGAGGGAGAGCAGGAGGGGCCTCCAGGCTGACCAGCCCTGAGCCCGGGAGGCCCCAGGCACAGGCACACGAAGACTGGCCACTCGAAGAGACACCTGGGCTCTAGGTGGGCCACCACTGACCCTGGTTACAAGGCTAGAGCAGGCAGCCTAGCCTCTCCTCCACCGCTGCAGGCCCAACAACTACCTGGAGGACTGGGCCGACCTGCCCATCAAGGCCCCGGGCTCCAGGCTGGGGACCGAGCAGAGCACCGTACCTTCTTGCCTGTGAAGAGCAGCATCCCAAACATGGTGAAGACGCACAGGTGGACCACCAACAGCAGCAGGACACTGGGGAGACGGATGTGGGTACTCAGCACAGGACACATGCCCCACGCACCAAATGGGATGGGGGTCTAGGGACAGCCGGCCCGAGCACTCAGGGAGCTCCCTGCCCCAGAGCCTGACCTGCACTCAGCTACTGGTCCTGCCCTAGGGAGCCCTCTTTCCTTGGCAGGGACAATCAGTTCCCCAGGGGCATTTTCTGGGGCCCCAAGGACCCCTGGACTCTCAGAGGGGAAAGGCCACATCCATCCATCTGGCTGGACGGTGAGGGGTCAGCCATGTGAGCCACTGGGGGAAGGGGACTGGAGGCAGAGGGAGGCCAGGGGACAGAGAACTGGGGCGGGGTGGGGGGTTGGGAGGGGAGTGGGGGAGGTGGTCACAGCCATAGCGGGAATGGAAGGGCAGCATCCACAGGGCTCTGCAGCTGTCGAGCAGAGGGCACAAGGCCACTAAGCGGCTGCCAGGAGGCCCCCGAACACCCACCCACTGGCTTCCCCAGGCCGGGGGCCCGCCATGCCCCAGGCCACAGTCCCGGCGCCCCCGATGGCACAGCAGTGAGCCCTGGCACCGAGAGCCCACCTGGCCATTTCCGGCAGCGAAGACCTGATACACTTGAGCGTCTTCTTCATCATGGATGAGTTCTGCATCAAGAAGAAGGGGCGCAAAAGCCTACGAATCCGCAGGGGCTGAAAGACAGCAGGAAAGGGCTCTCCAGTTCCACCCAGGCCCGAGACCGGAGGTGCCCAAGAGCCCCCAAGCCCCGCTCTGACCCTTCCCGGCCACCCGCTCACAGCCCCAACCTCCTTGTCCCCACGCTCGCCCACTCCGGCTCTGCATCCTCCCCCCACCCCTGCCAACGGGCCACCCTCTCCCATCAACCCTGCAGCCATAGCACCATGGGGGGGGCTCCACACCTCCCTACGAAGCTCCTCCCCTGCCCCCACCCCTCACGCACACACAGCCGCGGGGCCACACGCTGCAACGTGCAGCGCCCGCCTGCTAACACACTCATACACACCCTCCGTGTGCATGCCCTACACGTGCACACCCTCTGCACACAGGCACACACACACACGGGTGCACACACAGGCCCTTGTTTCCTCCTTCCCCTCTTCCTTCCTGTCAGAACCAGAGAGGCCCTCCCACCCCCACTGTCTGCAGGACCACCTAGCCTTAAGCGCTTCCCACTTGCCCCTCCACCTGCCCCCCACGTCCTTGCCCCTGACCCAGCCAGTCCTCCTGTCTGGGGTGCTAGCCCCAGCCTCAGTGACCTCTGGGCCTGAGTCTGCCCAGCACCTTGGGCCATCTCCCCCGTGCCTGACCCCCGAGTGCTGACGCCCAGAGCCCCTTCCTCTCCTGTGTGGCCTCTCGCCTTGGGGAACTTGTCAAGCCGCACAGTTTGTTTGTTTGTTTTTCTTTTTTTTTGGTGGTTCATATCTTTTATACAAAAGCAGAGCTACCTTCTCTCTTGCAATCACCCCATCTCCTGTGCCGCGTGGTTTTAAGTGTCATGTTTATGCTCCATGGCCCATCCCAGCTCTCAACTCGACTCCCGCCCCACTGGGCATCTTGTCTTAGAAGGCCAGCTGACCACGTCCCCTCCCTGCCCAAGGCCTAAGGACTGCCTGGAGGCCCACTCTGGCCCGTCCAGGGGCTGCCACCCACCATCCTGCTGGCTACAGCCCTCAGCCCACCCCTCTGGCTCAGCAGGCGGGCTGTCCCTGTCCCTCCCATGCTGGTGTAAATGCCACCTCCTCTAGCACGGCACCCGTGGCACAATGGGATGCCACGACATATCTGGGGTTTCTGCACACAAGAGGGCTCTCTCACAACAGAACAAGGTCCCACCAGCACTGGCACACAGCAGACCCTCCGGGTTGTCCACACGATACGGGATCCCAAGGCCTGAGTCAACCTCCCTGGGCTACATCCATTCTCAGAAGGGGGCCCAGCTCCCGGCACAGGACCAGAAAGCCCAAGGAAAACAGCAATAAAAGGGACACTCACGGCTCTGCCCACCCGCCCCCCTGCCCCCGTGGGCTGAGGGACCAGCGTCCCCAGTTCACCCATAATCCGCTCACTGCCCTTGGATGGAACCTTGTCTCAGTGCCCATACCCGAGTCTCTTAGCCATCCCTCTAGGCCAAGCAGCAGCTGAAGGTCCTACTAGCCACACCCAGGGTCTTGGACCCTCACCTGTAATCAGACATGGAGCAGGGTGCAGCTCATACCTCCTGCCAGGAGCCCTCACCATGCTGGGGCCACGTCAGGGTCATGGACACAGGGACATGCACCCTTTATGAAGGATGGGGAGGTACCGCCACAGGACCAACACCAGTGAGCAGCCCCTGGTGAGGCCCACATAGAATCATAGCCCACCAACTAACCTGCAGATACCTTGTCTCCCAGGAGAAAGAGCCACAGCAGAGTCGTGACCATGGCCTACCCCATGACCGGTAGACCATGTATGATGGGACCCTCTGGGCCACAAGGTAGAAACAGAAAGAGAGACTAGGCTGGAGTAGGGGGAGGCCCATGGTCCTCCCCGCCCGCCCTCCCTCCCCTAGGGCCCGTGTGAGTTCTTTATGACTGGCCAGCTGGCCACAGAACCTCAGGCCTGGTTTGGAGACGGTTCTGCCCAGAAGTGGACCACGTGCGGCACTACGGCCTCCATCAGGAACCCCACCCCCCCGACCCGAGATGGTGCTGAAAGGAAAGCATTTTGGTGGCCAGGGTCCACCCTGTCTGTACCGAGAAAGGTAAAACTTCCCGCGCGGCGATCAGGGCACAGAAAGAACAGGCCAGACAAGTGGGGACAAGGTCCGAGAAGCATGCGCGTGGACGGGCAGAAGAAACACCGAGACAGATCATGTCCAGTAATGTCCGAGCCTTGGGCCCCAGGGCCACCACGGATGGGCTGCCCTCTAGAAGCAAAGCTCAGCTCCGCTCACCCACCCAGATGTGGCCCCCTGGCAGCTGGGGGTGACTGCAATGGGCCCTGTCCCCCGGCAGGGCGCTGATCTGTCCTCACTGGATGGGCAAGCATGTGCACCAGAGGCTCTGAGCACCAGGACAGACCCGAACGGCAGCTCCTCCTCTCCCCAGCCCGCAGTTCAGTGCCCTGGGCTCTGGAAATGTCCACCCCAGGGTGGGTGCTGCACCGGGGACACGCCGGAAGATTCATGAGAAGCAGGGTGGGGTGCCGGTGGGTGCGCAGTGCTCCGACTGCCACGGACCACCTGGGGTGCGGCTGCGCAGAGGGGCAGGGAGGTCCAGGTCGGGGGTCCTGAGGCTCATCCAGAGCCTAACGGAAAACAGAGAAGCCTAACAGAAAACTCCGGGAATCACAAAAGGCAGGAGTACCGAGGACATGGACTGGCCGAGTCCCCGTTCCAGGTGAAGCAGCCAGAGGAGCCGGGGAGCCAGCTGAGCCCACGGGTATGGGGACCCTGAGCAGGAGGAACTTATGAAGATCAGTCAGGGCCGCAACCAATAACAACGCAAGTCTAAGGAGCTGTGCGCGGCTCTCCTTGCCGATTGCACAGACGCGGGTTTGTACCCGTTCACGAAGCTCTTTCCTGCAAGGAAGTGGGAGGCGGGCACTGTGCCGTCCATCCTCCCCGCCGGCTCCCCTTCAGCAGCTGCTTACTCCTGCCAGGGACGGCACCGGGGAGAGGCTGGGAGGCCGGAGGGGGAGACGCGACCCCTCCCCGCCATCCCCTTGCTGGCCCCAGGGCGGTACCCACGCCGGGGGCTGCCAGCCTCCTCTTCCTTCAGCACTGCCAGAACCAAGCAGTCTCTGGAGGGGCCCGGGGGATGTGCACCCCTCCAGGGCCCGGAGGGCGGGGCGCCGGCTCTGGGGCCCCCGCCCCGGAGCTTCCTGCAGCTTCCCGCGCCACCACCCCTGCCCTGCCCCTGTCCTGCTTTGGCGGTTACTCAACACCTATTTAAGCTTCTATGTGAATTCTCTTGGCTAAAGCGCCCGATGGGCTTGTGTCCCTGACTGGCCTTGATGGACAAACTTTCTTTCCCCGCTTCTGTCCTATCCAGTCACAGGGCAGTGCGTCTGGGTGGGGGGCACGACAGGACACTGGGCTGACACGGGCTTTTTCCCACTGCAGCCCACCCAAGAGCTTCGGCCATGTGGCCAGGGCAAGGCCCCAGGGCAGCAGGGGACCCAGCCGGTCGAGGAGCTGAGCTAGAAAGTGGCAAGGCAGGGATCAGGAGTCCTTGTGCCCTCCCCAGGCCTCAGTGTCTCCTTCTGCAAGATGGGACAAGGCCCCATGGCCAATGGCTGACTGAAATGCTAGGAGGATGGGCAGGGGGCAGGGGGCAGGCCACCCAGAGCTTCCTGCTCCCACCTCCAAACTGCCGCACTACCTACCTCCTGGCAAACCAGACTCAGCGACACGATCCAGTCCATAAGAGACACGACCAGCACTGCAAGGTAGGCCAGCAGCCAGAGGTTCATCCGGAACTGGGCCCACCCAACCAGGTAGCTCTGCAAGAGAGGTGGGGGGTGAGGGAGCGAGTGGGTGAGCGGGCAGCCCCACAGACACCAGCCCCACAGCCAGCCCGAGGCCATCGACACGCCTGGGTGAGGCTGGGGCAGCCAGAGCAGAGAGCGCTTTGGCGAGCGGTGTGGTCTCCACGTGACTTGGGGAGCAAGAAGCTGAGCTCCCCGCCCAGCCTGCTGGTGACCTCGGACAGCCAGTGATCTTAGGCTCAGCACTTAACCACTCCGGCCCACTTCCACATTGGAAACAGGGTCTGAGCCGTCCTGCCCATCCCAACCACCAGTTTAACTTATGCCCAGGAACCATTCTAGAAAAAGCCATTCTGGAAAAGGGGCTTTGCCAATTGAAGCTCTAACACCCCACATGGTCCACTTCTGGTTAGGGCTGGCCCACACCCAGAACCGTCTATAAACCAGGCCCAAGGGATGCCTGGGTGGCTCAGTCAGTTAAGCGTCTGCCTTTGGCTCAGGTCGTGATCCCAGGGTCCTGAGATCGAGCCCTGCATCGGGCTCCCTGCTCGGGTGGGGGTCTGCTTCTCCCTCTGCCCCTCCCCCTGCTTGTGTGCACTCTCTCTCTCTCAAATAAATAAAATCTTAAGAAAAAAAATCAACCAGGTCCGAGGTCTTCCTCTGTGGCCACGAGCCCCACAGACAGCAGGGGAATCCAGAGGTCATTGCGTGCAGATAAAAATGTACACTCGCTCTAACTTGTGAGACTTCCCAACACACCAACCGTTCAAAAAATACTAATGAGAACTTCTCAGCAGTTTCAGTTCCAGTTTTAAAACCCCCAAACCTCCTAAACGCATCCTGGGCTAAAGAAGAAACAATGCAAAGCTGCCCAGGGCCCTCGCCCACAGCCCTCAGTGTCAGCAGGACAGCCCAGCAGGGGCCGGGCAGAGGCACCCCTGACTCTGGGGACAGCCCGCCTCACTGTGGCCAGCCGTGTCCCGAGGGCCCAGCACTGGAACGCTGGAATCGCTCCTGTCTGACAAAAGGAACCATGCGTGACCCACAGCCAGGCCCAGCCTCTCAGCCCCTCAGCGTCTCACTGGGAAGCCATTAAGGCTCTGAACCTCCGACACGGCCCAGAAGCTCCAATGAGCAAGGCAGGGCCCACCTCCAGCTTCTGGAAGGACTCGGGTCAGAAAGAATCTAGAGTCAGACACACAGCGCGTGGCAACAGGCCCCTTTCCGCCCCACGCCCAACTCCTGTGTTCCTCTTCTCGTGGGGGTGGGAGGCTGGGCCATGAGAGAGACCACTGGTCCTGCCTTATTCTACTAGGGTCTCTCCTCACAGGGGCACCGCCAGACCCCTGGCCACCCGCAGAGATCCCACAAAGCCGTGCACCTGGCAGGGCCGAACCCAGACTCAGTTTGGTCTGGAGAGGGCAGAGAGCTGACAGAGCCTCTGCTTCACCAACCAAGGCCTCTGCTCGGAGGGTCAGAGGGCACAGTCAGGGGAAAAGGAAGCTAGCTCCAGGAGAATAAAAATTAATCAGGAAAGCAGCGGACAGGCTGGGAGGGCACTGGCCCGTGGGCTTGGGCACCTGACGGCGCCCACCTGACCTTCACAGAGACGTCAGCCACAAAGACCAGCAGGCAGAGCACCTCGATGCTCTCGGTCAGGCCACAGGGAGGATTCCAGGGGGCCGAGCGGTAGCGGACGTCTGCGGTGCTAGTGAGCGAGGAAGGGGTCTCAATAAAAGCCAAAAACAGGATCAAGAAAATGGTGACGCTCAATATCCTGAAAAAAAGAACAAAAACTAATGAAAATGCACGAACCAGCAGGGCTCTGGGCCCAAAACTAGATCTGCAGGCAGGGGAATGCCTGGGATGACAGCAGGACAGACTCCATGGTTTCAAAAGGACCCCACGCCTCCTGCTTTGTGCCTGCTCTCGAGTGGTCAGATAGCAGTACTCAGGTCAAAGCTCGATGGCCACGGCTGAACCTCATTACCAGAAGAGCCCCTCTTTCCTCGGGCTGGGCTCCTTTCCAGGAAGGAGGGGAAAGTGGCTCCTTCTCCACCTTGGGGAGGGGAAACCTGCCTGGACCCTGAGGCCGGCCTCCCCCAACCCAGCCAGGCCACAGGAACCCCCCACTGCACGCCTGGGCCTTCTCACCACTGGCACGTGTTTGAGTAATACAAGCGGTAAAGCCACATCGATCTGGCGTCCATGCGGTGGTTAATGGAGCGATACTGAAAGCGAACATCACACAGGGGAGCGTGAGTGGGGGTCCCCTCGGAGCCACACAGCATGGCCAGCCACAGGCCAGGCACCCACTGACCCCACGACAGGCCCCAGGCAGGGAGACGGGCCGTGGACCAGAGTCCACTTCCACGGCACAAGTGGACAAAAGGCTCTCTCGTGACCCTGTGGGGCACCCAAAGCCTCCACGGCCCTGCATGGACACCCACTTCCAAACGTACAGCTGTGCCCACTGCCTGCCTGTGAGGCACCCCCCTGCTATACAAGGCCCCCATCACTCTCACTCTCCAGGCCGCCCCCCAGCCTAGCCCCCCACATGGTTACATTGCTCCCTTCCATATCCTATTTCCCGAATTGAGCCTGAGTGTTGTTTTCCAGCAGGAGGCAGTCTGACCATCTTTGGGCATCTCTCGGAGGACCTGGGACAGGCAGGCACACGACAGGCCCTCAGGGGGTGTAACTCAACGAAACCAGTGGCTGACTCTAGGACTCAAGGGAAGAGTACCCAGCGCCCACCTGCTTTAGGGAGGACTCCAGGCGAGCCGTGCCCACAGGCCCCATTATCACTTTATGATGACCACACGGGCCAGCCACCGAGGCGCCGGCCCCAGGACAGCAAGGAGGGGACCAGCAGGGCAGCCATCACCCAGCCCCCACAAAACGTGAAGAGGAGCCCAGGCCCAGCCACTGGGAGTAGGTGCTGCCCACCTGGATCGCATCTTCGATGAAGACAGCAGCCTGGTCAAAGCAGAGATCCCGCCTGGACCGAGCGCCTGCAGGCAGAGAGAGCACATCAGGAGACAAGGCAGATCACATGACGCTCACCAGCTACAGGACCACTGAGATCAAGGAAAGAACCTGGAGGCATTCTTCTCCAAGGCTCTGCAGTGAGATGCCTTTCGCCCCGCAGCAAGTCCGCACAGGAGAGCGCCCCAGGCCTGGCCCGGCGCACGGAGCGTGCTCCAGGAGCGGGCAGCTGCGGCCCCCTCCTACCGCCTTCACACACCAGCACCCGGGGGTGTCAGGGCACGGGAGGACGGATGGGGCCCCTAGTGGGCCCCGGCAGGCTCCCGACTACGCGGGGCCTTCAGGACACGTCAGGCGGCTGGAAGCCTCATCCCAGCACCCCCGCCCATGGAGGAGCCATAAGCAGCACACTAGGTCAGTCCCTGCAGCCTTGGGTTCCGGCCACTGCTTGACACGAAGGGAGAAGAAAGGCATGAGGAGACGTGGCTCGCAGCAACAGAGGAACCCCACAGCCCGAGGTCCACGCGGGAGGGTGCAGCCCAGGCAGCCCGGGCCCCGGGCAGGGAGCAGAGCGGCACGCAGCCCCCAGCACCCCCCAGCCCAGGGCTTAGAAACGAGGGGGCAGCTGTTTCTGCTGAAGATTCTACTTTCAGCTCTGGTCCTTTCGTGCCAGCAGCAGTTCACCTCGTACAGAGAGAACGCTGCTACGTGCATGCCTCCAGAGCAGAGGTATGGAAGCCCAAGGCAGTGAGGGCGGGCGGTGGGCGACTGTCTACTCTGCCCACCACCCCCAGGGAAGCAGCGGCCCCTGTCCTCAGGGCTCCTACCACAGGGTCCCGGGGGCCAATCAGGGACGTGGGGGACCCTGGACAGAGGTAGGAGGCAAGACTCCAGCCTGGCTCTGCCATCACATTGCTGTGTCACCCAGGGCAAGCGCCCATCTCTATCTGGGCCTCAGCTTCCCCCCATGTACAACCTCCACACTCGCCCTGAGGAGCCCTAAAAGTTCTCCCAGGGAGGCTGTGAGGATGGTGACTGCCTGCTTCCCCTGACGGCATCCTGGGAACTGTGATCAGACAATACTCTGGTCTACTCCCTGCTGTACCCACAGAGCCCAGGACCGTGCAGGGCTTGGCACACAGTGTCCTCAAAGCTTCTTTATGGAGTGAGCGAACAGCGCTGAGGGGAGGCTGCGGGGCAGGGTGGTCTGAGGGCCCACAAGGGACCCCATGTTACCCAATCCCGGGATAAGAGATGAGGTCGCCACCTGGAGAGATCTAAGGACACAAGCTTCTGAGACAAGAAGAGCCTGTGGGCTCATTCTAGGCCCAGATGCGGGGTGCAGCTCATGCCCAGGCAAGCCATCACAGGCCAGGGGCGTCAGGCACCCTGGGAATTGCCCAGCACACATCAGACCTCTGGCCTGGGCCTCGGGGCACCAAACCTCAGAAAGGCCACCCCGCCTGCTTTGCAGCCCCTGACACCAGCAGCCAGGGGCACCTTGTCACACACCCTTGGTCGTGAACATGTCACAGCTTCCCACGAGTCCCCAGTGCTCCTGGACAAAGTTCACACTGTCCCCACCTGGCACTACAGTGCCCACCTCACCCACTCACCGCCCGTCCTGCTTCCCCTCCCCATGCCCTCCACGCTGCTCATCCTGAACTTGGCAGAGCCAAGTTCTCCCAAGACTCCAAGCCCTTACCCAGGCTGTTGTCCCCAACAGGAGCACTGTCTCCCAACGCGGTAGTGCCCCACCCCGGGTGGCAATCAGCGGGCACACCAGGTCGGGGCATCGGGCTAGAACGTCTGCCGCAGAGAGCAGAGGACAACGGGGGCACAAACACCGCGCCCCACACCAGCCTCCCGTCCCTCCTGTTCCAGGCTCCAGTCTGCACGACCCGCCCAGGGCCCCGACCAGCTCCCTCATGACCCTGGGCAGGCCCCTTCACCTCTGTGCCTCGGTGCGCCCCTCCTGGGTCATACACGACAGGACGGATGTGCAGACCGAATGGGTTGCTGTAGCTATCTGCTGCTCTTACTCTAGAAGCCCCTTCCGTGGTATGGTGCTCCCTCGTCCTCTGACTTTTCCGTAACCAGAAAGAGTATGACTCCCTAACCAGGAACAAGAAGAGGAAACAGCTACCCTCGCTCTATGGCTGATGAGGTGCGGCTGGGTCAGAAGGACCTGACTGCAGGGTCCGCGGGGCACCCAGCAACACAGTCCCCCCACCCATCAGCAGGAGGATCCGACTGCAGGACACACAAACTGGGTGCACAGAGCCCCACCTGGGAGCCCCTACAGGAGCTTGAGGGCGGACCAGCCATTCTCAGTCCCCACCGCCCCCGGGGGCCAAGCAGCCTAGCCAGGGAGACTCAGAACAGACGGTGTCCCCTCATGTTCTCAGGAACCCTCATGGAGGCCACGGCGTCCAGACGAGGAGCCCTTGCTCAGCGCCCACACTGCCTGGCCCCGGCTCCTACCTTACAGTGCAGGTCTCATGTGCCCAGGACCGAGACCTGTGATAATCACGGTGCGCTGCCCAGAACGGCCCTCAGCACCAACTGCACCAGCTCTGCCACCTGGCCAGGTCCTGCGCCGAGGGCATTCCCAGCATTCTCTCCGAATCCTCAAGTCAGCCCCTCTGACTACCCCCCTTTTATTAAAGCTCAGAAAGGTCAGGCAACCTGCCAAGGTCACACAGCCAGAAGGGGCAGCACCAGAAAGGCACTCTCACCTCCAGACTCAAAGTCTGCATGCCCTATGTCCCCTGCCCAGGGACCCGTGGACCCTGGCACGGGTTGGATGGAGAACTTTCTTGGGGACAGCCTCTGACATGCACAGGCAGGTGGCTGCCCCCGCCTCCAGTTATCCCGTCTCCTGTCAGGAACCCGCCACCCCCCATAGTCCGCGGATGGGCACACACTATGGGCGCCTCCCAGACAGAGGAAGCAAGCAAGCCCAGAAAGCGAAAGTGCTCCTGGAAGGAACACCCAGCATGACACTGGCCGCAGCTGCACCAGATCCCAGGGCTGACCCTGGATAGGTCCTGGAGACTCTGTGGGCCTCGGTTTTCTCCTCTGTAAAATGAGGCTGAAGCCCTTCCATCCCTAACCCAGTACTCAACCCCCTTGTCGTCGGCCGGAGACAGATGGACTCCACCCTGCGGCCCTCCTCGGGACTCAGCAACTTCTCTGCTGGTAAACAGGAAGGGCAGGAGGGAGCTGCAGAGGGCAAAGGGAGGAAGCTGCCCTGGTCTGGGGAGGCCTGCCCCAACCCCAAACTGAAGGGGGACCAGCCTCTGGGGAGACTCCAGCACCGAGATTGAGAGAGTAGAGTAGACTGAAAGAACTCCTAAGTCTACTCCCAGCTGGGCTTGAACCCCACCGCAGCCACTTCCTGGCTGTGGTGACCTTGGGTAGGGGAACGCCCCTCTCTGTGCCTCAGTTTCCCCCATCATAACCGGGAGGAAAACGGAAGTGCTCCCTCCTAGGGGCCACCAAGGCGATCCGCGAGCCCTGGGTCCACCCGAGGTCCATCGAGGGGGCTGCACGGGACTGCGGGGCGCGGGCGGCCGGCTAGGCGACGCCTCTCAGGCGGCTGGTCAGAGGCAGGGCGCGACCCTGCAGCGCGTGGCCGACCCTGGCGCCCGCTACTCCGCAGGGTGCAGCCCCCCGCCCTCCGGAGGGCGGCTCCCCTCGCTCCCCGCGCCCGCTCAGACCCCGGCCCGTGGGACGCGCCCGCAGCGGCGACAGCGAACGGCGCGGAGCCGGCAGGACCCCACGCACCACCCCCGCAGCCCGCTCCCCTCCCTGGGCCGCCGCTCACCAGGGCCGCCGCGGACGCTGCGGCAAGCGGCTGAGCCCGCCAGGCAGTCTCGGCCGCTGCCGCCCCGGGCCCGACTCAAGAGGGGCTCCGACTCCGCCCGGGAGTCCGCCATGGAGCCGCCGCGGGCCGCCAGGACCCTACCAGGACCCTACCGGGAGCGCGGGACGCCGAGCGCGAGCTCTATCGCGCAGGCGTGGCGTCCCCGCCCCTGGAGGTCGGGAGGAGGAGGTGACGGCACTGTGACGTTAGGGTATGCCCCTTCGCTACCAGCCAATAAGAATGGAGGGTTCGCGTGGAGGCGGGGCTTTCCAGGGCCCTGCCTCTCAGGGGGTGGGGCTCAGCTTCCTACCCGCAGGGAGGGGCTCTAGGGACCCTTTAGGGCTGGGAGGAACGCCTTCCCAAAGAGCGGTGTCAGCAGCTCCTGGGCACGGGTTTGAAAGGCAGATTCCTGGGCCCTCCCCGAACTGCTGAATCCGAAACTCCGGGCAGGGCCCAGGAATCCAGGTTTTGCTTGTGAGTGTTGGGTACGTGGGGGTCACGACCAAAGGACATCCCCCCAAAATGGAACTTGAGTTTACCCTCTGGTAATGAAATTAGTAAGATTGAATGTAATTAAGAGTAAGGTTTAAAAAGACGACTGACACACTTGAAAAAAATATTTACAACATATACATGAAGTGTTTCCAACATTAACCCATAAATAGCTGTTTTCCATTGCTGCTGTGACACATTACCGCAAATTTACCAAAAACCTCTGCCATTTATCATCTCTCAGTCCCGGAGGTCCCAAGTCCAGGGGCTGGGCTGGGTCCTCGTGTCGGTGATGAGGGAACAGAAGGCAAACGGAGGACAAAGCCGAAGCTGGACCCTACAACTCCCCCCTCCCCCCACTTTGGGATATATGTGACTTTCCTCAGGCACTCCTGGCTGCCCTAAAGGAAAAACAAATGGTTAACTGATAGAGATCACAGTCCTGCAGGACAGGAGTCTCCCTCACTTTACAAATGTCCTAGTGATTTACAAGGAAGAAGCATTCTTATCAATAGCCTAACTTCCAGAGACCCATAACTCAGTTTCCTGAAGCCCTAACATCACCCTCCCCTACATGAAATTGAGGGAGACTGAGGCAGAAGGAAATGTAAATAAAACTGATTTGCTTTTGAACCTGAAGCCCATTGACAAGGACGTGTGATAGGAGGAATGTAACATTCTTCCAGGAAACTCCCAATTGTCTTCATGTTAGTGCCTCATTAGAGAGAAAAACAACCTTGGCTTGACAATAACCAGGCCTCCAGTATCCTGAGAGTCTTTAGCATATGACAGTCCTTCTGGACACCCCCTTTGTCCTCACCTCCCCAACTCCTGACTATATAATCACCACTCCTCAAGACCACCGGGCAGAAGCTCTTTCTGCCCACGGGTCCTGTCCCCGTGCTTTAATAAACCACCATTTTGCACCAAAGACGCCTCAAGAATTCTTTTTGGTCGTCGGCTCCAGACTCCACCCCACTGAACCTCACCTGTATTCCAAAACTGCATCATCGGAGCCTCACAAGGCCAAGGTCAAGGTGTCAGGGCCAGGCTCACTCACCGGGCTGACTAGGACTGCTGTCCCTGTTTCTTGCTGGATGTCGACCAGCGGTCATTCTCAGCTCCTAGAGACGACCACATTCCTTCCCTCAAAGCCCCTTCCATTATCAAAGCCGGCAAGAGTGCACTGAATCTCTCTCATGCTTCGAATGAGATGCTTCAAATTGCAGCAAGATGCTTCCCGTCTCTCCGACTTCCTCCCTCTGCCACATCTCTTTCCTTTTAAGGGCTCCTATGAGTACACTGGGCGCCTCAGATAACCCAGGATAATCTTATTTTAAGATCAGCTGATTAGTAACTTTAATTACATCTGCAAATCCCTTTTGCCAGAGATCCGATCTTAACCACCAGTGTGATGCTGGGAGATGAAGATACCGGGAACCAAAATTCTGCCTCCCACAGAGCTCTTAAAAATCCATAAGAAAAAGATTATATTCTCCTTAGGTGGGAAAGGAACAAAGGACTTGAACCAGAAGTTCACAAAAGAGGAATTATCCATGTAGAATGCTTGAAACAAAGCTTCACCTCATTAGAATACAAAGATATGCAAATTAAAATAACAATAAAAATCATTGAGTGAATCAGTTGGCAAATATTTAAAAGGGCTGGAGTGCAAGAATGTGGTTATCCCAGGAGAGTAGAGAGAAATCATAGAATTTGTTCATGGGTTTGATTTTTTTTTTCTTTTAAACAAGAAGCATGCATTTTACAACCTGAAAAAATTAAGATACTTTTATTCTGGAAAAAGAAAGCAATAGACACATGGAGAACTTTGTAAAAACTGGCCCATCCATCAAGGATTTATCTTTATTGCATTAAAGAATTCCCTTTAGGTTTGGGCACAAACTCAAGGAGGCTCAAGTGGAACGCAAGGCAGTAAAAGCATTTGGTGAAAATTAATTAAAGGAAACATTATTTAAAATGGAGTGGGGAGGGGGTGCCTTGGCTGGTCAGTCGGTTAAGCGTCTGCCCAGCTCTGAGACCCTGGGCACATCCCACCCCTCTCTGCCTCGGTTTCCCCATCTGTAAAGTGGGGAGAAAATTACATCAGCCTCACGTGGATGTTGAGAGGGTTTAAGCAAGGTGACACCTGTCAAGAGCCAGGCAGATGGGAGGCGCTTGGGAGCAGGGTGCCCTTCCTGCAGGAACAGTCTGCGTGCTCGGCCCCACCAACCAGCCCACCCTCATCGCTCCTTGTCCATCTGGTCCAATGGAGGAGACAGGACTGGGAAAGAGGACACGGTGACAGCACTTCCCAGGCCAGAGGGGAGAAGTCCTCTGCCGAGCCCTCCCCCTGTGTGCAGCTGAGACTGGAAGAAGTCAGTCCTCCCACCTGCTTGGTCCACGGGTCTTTCTGGTGCCCCAGACTGGGAGGCAATTCTGCAGGGGAGCCAAGGCGTGACCTTGACCTCATTTGATACCCTCTACTCCTGTCTTCCTTTCTCCTTCCTCTTGTACCCCAACCTCTGCTGTCTCCCTTCCTCGGGCCAAAGAACGGAGGTAACTGCCACAGTCAGACGCTGCCCTAGAAGCGCGGTTCCCAGATCCCCACTGGGCATGGGGCTGCAGGAATCAGGACACAAAGCTGCCCCTCCCCTGATGTGGACACTGCATACACTCAGGCTGTGGTTCAAGGAGGAGCCAGGGAACCAGAGGAATCCTGCCCCACACCCCGTAGACGGCTGCCCCCAACATAACCTTAATTATTTCTAATATTGAATACACCTGCCACGGCTTCGCAATTACTGTCCCATCAATATCTTTTTTTTAATATCATCATTTAATTTTATTTTGTTTTATTTAGAGAGAGAGAGAGAGAGAGAGAGGCAGAGGGAGAAGCAGGCTCCCCACTGAGTGGGGAGCCCGATGCGAGACTCGATCCCAGGACCCTGAGATCATGACCTGAGCTTCTGCCCGAAGGCAGAAGCTTAACCATCTGAGCCACCCAGGGGCCCTGTCCCATCAATATCTTAATTCTTATCGAACTTTGGTCATTGTCCATCCCCCTCCATTCGTTCTTTTATTAATCTATTATTTTTATTTATTTATTTATTTATTTATTTTATTCTTTTATTTATTTACAGTTCTCTTACAGTTGATTTAAATGAACTCATTTCCCCGAGTTTCACCGCAATCAATCAATAAATGTCTGCAAATCCAAACGATGTGCTACTTATGCTTTTTTCTAAGACACATTAAAATAAGTACGTATATTGGTTACCTACTGCTCTGTAACAAATAACCCCCAAAACCTCATGGTTTAAAAGAACAACAGTTGGGGCACCTGGGTGGCTCAGGCGGTTAAGTGACCGGCTCTTGATTTCGGCTTGGGTCATGGTCTTGGGGTCCCGGGAGCAAGCCCCACATTGGGCTCTGGCTAAGCGCAGAGTCCGCTTGGGGATTCTCTCCCTCTCCCTCAACCCCTCCCCTCACTCTCGCGCTCTCTCTCTCTAAAATTAAGGATACCTGCCCCAATAGGTGACAAGGCTTTGTTTTAACGTTAATTTCTGTGCCCATAAGGTCATCTCCCACACCACAGTTATCTGTTCTCACGTCCATCTGGTGAGCCAGGACGGCTGTCACTCTCCCCGCCGGCAGACGAGTGAAGAGCCTGGGGGTGGGGGGGGGGCTCAGGGGCATTCCTCCCAAAGTCACGTCGCCCAGTGGGCTAGCAGCACCATGTCTGAACACAGCCCTGGCCCGCCATCGACTCAGTCCCCTAGCACGGGACCCCCAGGTGGCAGTGGAAGGCGCCCCGGGCGGGCAGGCCACAGCACATCGGGCCTGGGGCAGGGCCAGGCTGGGCCCTGGCGCGGCTGGGACTGCAAAACGAGGCCAACCCAGACGAGGCACCGGGGCAAAGTCAGAGCCGGCAGTGTGCGGAGTAGATGAGAAAGGGGGGGCTTGGCCCGACTCCAGGCAAGAAAACAAACCTGAGATTCACCAGGGGACAGGGGCCTCCTCTCTCCAGCCTCCCCCTCCTCGCACAGAAATGAAGAGCCCACCCACCACCACGCAGCTGTGTTTCCAATGTTGCTTTCTTGCCAGTGTCCCCCGGAAGCTGCAGTGGAGAAAGGCGCCCTCTTGGTGGGGACACTGACTCGTGCTCAGCCTGAGGATGGCTTCATGTCACACCAGGGCCACTGTTGGAGCCTTGCACCACCAACGGGGAGGTTTTTCTACCAAGATACCCACCCCGGGGGGTGGCTTGAAACTTGGTTTGAATTTCAGAAATGCCCCCTCGGTTCCCAAAACCGTACGGGTGGGGGGGGCGCTCTGTGACTTTGGGCAAGGCGCCAACCACCTCTGTATTTGGCTCCCGGCTTCACAGGGGGATTAATGGGAACTTCCTGGTGAGGCTGCAGGGGTGTGGGGTGTACGGGCGATCCCAAGAGGGGCCCAAATGTCCCTGCAGCCTGGGGACACCCACCGTCACAGGTCAGGCTCCCTGGGCCTGCTCTAGATGCTTCTGGGTCCTAGTCCTTGCTTTTCCCCCGGGGGACCTCAGGCCCAGCGCCCACC